ATATTATTGCTGATGCACATTTGCATCGTTCACGCATGTGAAACGTACAGCTTTGTCAAAGACCGAGATATGGAATTCAAAGACCACGTGATAACAACCATGACCACGCAATTTGTCGAGTTGTGCTGGGATAAATGTGTATGGATCATGAATTGCTTCTCCATCAATGCTCGCGTCAACAGTTTTGGAATGTTTGAATGTGATCTGAACAACTCCAGCAAGAAAGCGAGTCCAGGGAGCCTGGTACCAACACAGGGATCCCAGTACCACCAGATGGGGGTGAGTTCAATAATTTATTTTTATTTATTTTTGCCTATGTTTTATTGCCCAATAAGCAGGTCATTTGAAATATTTTGCATAATCCTCTAAGCGAACAATGGTAGTTCTGGTGTTTCGTCAGATTTATATACATCTTATGAGGATCACCCTATTTTAATTCAGAATTTTCGGGTGCGTGGAAGTGGGGATCAAGGTCTTGGGGCCATAAAAAGTGTATCGCTCAATATTGAGGATTTCGAAAAGTTACATTTGAGATCTGAGGAGGATCTCTGAGCTATGGCGCTGAAGGGATTTTGGAGGCAAAGTTACATTTTTTTTAGTCCCATACATTTTTACTGCAAATGATATCGTACACACACCGCTAATTTATTACTTAGGCTGCCTGTGTTCAGTCTCCAGGCATGGAGAAAGAGAGTGAGTTTTCATACTTATTGTCGTTATTATTCTTAAAACTACTCTACTATTTATAACACGAAAGAATGTGACAGAAATGGATGTACACTCATCAAAGAAGGTAAGTGGCACAAGTCTCTAAGTAAGTACCACGAAGAATGTTGGTATGTTACGTTTGCGAGAAGTCGAGCTGATGTGTAAAACCAAATGGTTGGCGATCTTTTACACAGAGTTCGAGACCTGTCTTCATATGTCTATGTAAACACAACAAAACGTTAGAACAATTAATTAGCAGGAAACCATGGAAACATATCAATATAAGACTCCAGATTCTCGCATGTGTAACAGAGAATAATGACCAATCACGTTCATCGATACGACAGAAATCATGAAGGCCTTTGTAAAAAGGCGGCCAAAGTTTCTCAATGACAAGGTGGAACGAAAAAAAGCAATTGAATGTTTAAATTTTAATTTTATAAATTAATAATGCTTCGATAAACAAAATAACCTATTGGCAAGATATATCATTTATAAATGTATATTGGACAGGAAATCTTTTGCTATAGGAAACCCCAAACAGAGAGCCATTTTTATGACAAAGATTTAAAATTCGGAAACCGAAATATCGTACTTTGCAAAGCATCATATGCACCTAGCTATAAAATGGCCAGCGGTCGATTGTGCTTGCGCATGCCAAGTATTTTGGTGACGTGTGACGTTGTCTTTGTGCATTTAGATTTGGGTGGCGGATGGTATCGCATTAATGATGCTGCTGTGAAGATAATCCATGAAAACAAAACCTGGATCGATGCACGAGCCCACTGTCAGTCCCAAGGAGCTGATCTGGCTTCTATAAAAACAAATTATGAAAATCTCTTTATTATTGATATGTTTTTGAAAAGTATGACGTCAGAAGGCAATAACATAGGTATGTGAATTTTTGAAAACTTACCACCCAATCAAGTGACCGACCGATTAACTCATTTACTAACCTATTATCCAGGATACTAACCAACCGACTGTCCAATTTACCAACCGACTGTCCAATTTACCAACCGACTGTCCAACCTACCAACCAACTGACTGTCCAACCTACCAACCAACTGACTGTCCAACCTAATAACCAACTGATTGTCCAACCTACCAACCAACTGACTGTCCAACCTACCAACCAACTGACTGTCCAACCTACCAACCAACTGACTGTCCAACCTACCAACCAATTGACTGACCAACCTACCAGATTTTCATGTAAACCAGTTTCAATTCTTGTTATCAACTGTCATCACTACCTCGCGTGATGATGCAAAGCCTCTCATTAACCAAACGAATGAATGACTTGCCATTACATCATGATTTGTGAAATGAAATATGCTATGATTCAAAACTTTTGTTTTCCAGCACTACCAGGGAATGATTTACCAGGCTTGTTGAAATACTGGGCACTTGATGGAACCGATGGAGACGTCGTGTAAGTAACGAACTAACAACAGACAGACAAATAACTATCTGTATATATTAATGTCATAGATAGCACTACACAGGTTTTGAAATTAGGCGTAAGAGCCATTAGGTTTTCACTTGGACCACAAAATGTGAACGCTATAGCAGGCTGTGAACTAAGCCATTTTTATTGTCCTATAGGCTGAAGGGAACCCCTTCCCCAAGTTACGAAGTGGTCGATGGAGAAAAAGCACTTTACCTTCCTGGGTTCAAAGGCTACGCAGAAGTCCCGGTAGTCCTGATGAATCCCGAGGGATACACGTTCATGTTGTGGTTCAAGCCTAGCAACCAGAGTATAGTACAATGGGAAGATGTATACGGTGATTGGACGCCAAGTCAACCGAGGTTTTACTTACGTTTGTCTAGGGCTCAAAGTAGAATTACTATAACTGTAAGGAAAGAGGACGGAAGTTCAATGCATTCCGCTCGGGCAGAGTAAGTATATATATATTTCATTTCATTTCATTTCATTTCATTTCATTTCCTTTCATTTCCTTTCCTTTCCTTTCCTTTCCTTTC